CTTCCTTTTCACTCCCAAATACAAATGATCTTGAACTGTTTTATCTGACTATCTCAAGTGGAATATAAAATAAAAAGAAGGCATCTTGGAGTTTCGTGGTACATTAAATACATTGCCAAACGGCACAATAGAAAGCAAAATGAACACGGCACAAGAGAAAAATAAGCTTGAAAAAGAAAAGATGCTAAATTGGAGATACTTTAGCCACCACAGAATATTCAGTACTATAAATGCTTAGTGTAAAGGCCCATGGTGATGGCGCTTACGTGTCTGCAATGAGACCACTTGCTGTGAGCTCTTGTGTATCACACTGTAGCTTCCTTTCTTTGCAGGAACTGTGGAGTGAATCCACTGCCACCAAAAACCGATTCTCAAAAGAAAAGTCAATCACAAACCACTTCAATAAAATTGTTTTACTTTGTATATGCTAAGGCTACAGTGATAATGAGGTATTTTAGCTTAAAAATTTTTTTGGATTTTATCCTTGTTTACTTGCTAGATTGTCTAGCAAATTATACTCAACAAATACTTTTGAGTGAATAAATGAATTTGTCATAAATAATTTATTTGAAAATTTAGAAATTGCTTATGAGTGGTGCAGCTTACATTTTTGTACAGAAGGCTTCCGAAATTCCATCTGTTTATTTTCTAGACTTTCCTCCTCAAACAAACTTAATCGACAGATATATATATAGATATAGATAACCAAAATGAGACAGAGTAACAAGAACCACAGGAGTCATGAGTATATCTATTCCTGAGGCCACAGACTGTTTCCTATAAAGCAAAACATACAATAGGGGTTGCTACACAATGAGATATCTCCTCACACCTGTTATAGTGGCTACTATCAAAAAATGAAAAATAGCAAGTGTTGACAAGGATCTGGATAAAAAGGGACCCTGTGTACTGTTGGCAGGAACGTAAATTGGTGCAGCCACAATAGAAAACAGTACGGAGGTTCCTCAAAAACTTAACAATAGAATTATTATATGATTCAGCAGTTCCATTTCTGGTATTTATCTGAAGTAAACAAAGAAACTAACCTGAAAAGATATCTGCACCTCCATATGCAGCATTATTTATAATAACCATGATACGGAAGCAACCTAAGCATCCACCAATAGATGAGTAGGTAAAGATGTGCAACACACACACACTATGGAGTATTAGCCATAAAAAAGAATGAAATCTTACCATTTGGGACAATATAGGTGAACATTGAGGGTATTATGCTAAGTAAAGTAAGTCAGAGAAAGACAAATACTATGATTTCACTTACATGTGGAATCTAAAAAATAAAACAAAACCAGACTCATAGGTACAGAGAACAGACTGATGGTTGCCACTGAGAGGGGACTATGCAGTAGGCAAAAATGGGCAAAGATTGGGATCAAGAGGTACAAACTTAGTTATAAAATAAATGACATGGAAATGTAATGAGTAGACAATATAAAATAATAATATATTAACTTTGTATGGTGACAGATGGTAACTAGATTTACTATGTGATCATTTTATAATGTATATACATTTCAGTTTACTACATCATAAACCTGAAATCAATGTAATCATGTATGTCAATTACGCTTAATAAAAAAATTTAAAGATCTTAGGAATTTTCTGGGAAAAGGAAGAAAGTAAAGAATTAGACATAACCTCAGCCTAGGAGAAGCAAACACTAAAAACCAAAACAGTGCAGTGTGGTGCACTGACAAATTAGTACAATGAAAAGGAAGCTGGAATAGACATTACAATAAATTTATTACAAAATTAAGAATGTCAAGGATGGGAAGATAAAGAAAAAGGGACAAAAGTATGGGACCCAGACTCTACGTCTGTTGCAAGGAGTTTGGAGAGAATTCAGTCCCACAGTACCAAGAAAACCCAGAACAGGACAGGGTGCAATGGCGGGTGAATGCAAGAAAAGATGAAAGCCGTCTTTCTGGTGACACTTGAAACCCTATTGTGAGGCCATGGGAATAAGAACTTCCTTTATTACAGAAGTGAAGCCTCCAAATAAGGAGCCCAAGAAGCAGCATACCTTAACACACCTTTACCTGTAAGGATGGCTCTAAATTTGAAAAACATTCCACATACATTAACTCATATGCTCATCACAATCCTTCAGCCAGGCACGAGGATTGTGCCATTTGACAGATGAAATAAGGGGCCCCAAATATCCTAGACTATTTAAATAGCATGATAAACTTAAATACTTAGTAAATTGTTTTCAAAGTTACAAAAAGATTCACTTCCCCTCGAAAGCTGTATTTTAAAAGAAAATCTATTGTTCTTGTCATAACTTAGAACATGAATGCTTTCCTGCTTATTATAAAGATGACTTTAACCCAAAACTCCATTCAAATCGGCAGATAAAAATGATATGCCTCCAGAGACACCAAATGAAGATAACAATAACAGCAGATTTTCAGTGCAACTAAAGGGCAAGGTTTCCCTTTTTTACAACTTTAGTGATTATGCAGTGTTGGAAAACACTTAGTCCCCATTCCTCTTATTTCCCTAGGAGGGGAGGGCATTTCCACAGGAAAGGATGTACAGGAGGAACACACCATGCTTTTCTCCACTCCTTCACTTTTAGCTCCTAGAAGGAATGTCTCAGCTGACTGGTTAGCCAGAGCCAAGCCTGCTTGGCTGAGCCTCCTTCAGACCCAGCTGCTCTGAAGAATCTAGTATATGCTCCTTCATGCCTCTATGACAGGGAAGCCTCTGCCTCTATAGGGGAGATCTCTAGCTGCCTGGCTGGGTCAGTGACAAGGGTGGTATGCCTTCTCTACCTCACAGGTGAAGTATTAACAAGCCCACTGGCAAGGGCTCTAAAGCCATGCTCTTCCATGTTTCTCAGTGATCTAGTTGTCACTCTCTCCTCCATTTATCTTTTGTCTCATTTTTCAATTGGTTATAAAGTTGAGGGGAAAAAACAAGGATGATCTTTAGTGGTCCCTAGAGCTACAAGACTGAATAAGAGGTAAAAATAAACCAGACAAAGAGCTCTTTTCCTACCCATCCTCATTACTTTTGAAAACGTTTAATAAAAATCTACACACAGTTGATAAAATGGCTTTGTCTTATCAAATAATGCTAAATCTATACTCACAGTATCAACATGATCATATAAGCTCAGCAAAAATTAAAAGGCCAAAACCCTAAAGACCTAGCAACGGGAACTACACAAACACACAAAAAAAATACTAGTAAATAGTATTTGCTTCCAAGAATAGATCAGATTTTGAAGCAACCTGCAGTTAGATGAGATGCCCTCATATTTTAAGGATTCTTCTAGATTTAAAACTCTTTATTTCTAATTAAAATTCTATCTGCATCTTGTGTGGATCAGTTTAAATCAGGTGTTATATATCTTCTTTAGCAGTTCAAGTGAAGTGCAGCTACAGAAATAAATCAATGCATAGATATGGACCTCTTATTATTCACATGTAAAAATCAGGACATTATCCTCTATTGCTTAGAGTTTTTGAAGGGATTGAATCAGGTAATATATGTGAAAAAATTAATCAAAATTCTGGACACATACACTTCGGTTTTTCTTTTTCTATAGCCTGAAGCTATCATATTTTGCCACTAGATGGCAATGCTGCATAAGTAAGATGCTGCACCAAGGGAAGTCTGGATTTTATTTAACTGCTAAAAGTGAAATTAAATTCTAGGTATCCGATGAACTAATAGATAAAACTTGGGACACCTGATAAGAGAGACTATGATAATTTCTCATTTTGTAAGAAATTAAAGTGCCAATGGTGCCTTTCTCATCTTTAAATCTTAATTCACTTGAATTAAGAAATGGCATTTTTAAGGTAAGATATTTGTTGATAGCTAACAAAAATGTTGAACATTTACCTCTGACCCCAGACTGAGAGAAATGATTTCATCCTCAAAAGCAGAATGTATGTCAATGTGAGCAGGAATTCCTGGGATGGAAAATAGGATTAACACATCACTTCATTTTTCTCTTTGGTAGATTTAAGATGACTTTAAATATAGCCTCACACTATTATAGTGAAAACATTGATAATCATAAATGTACTATAATTTTAGTTAAAAAGAAACATTTAGGGTGAATATGACTAAACAGAATCAAAATAAATATAAATTAAAATGATCTTACCTTCAACTTCAACTACTACTGGGACTCAGTTCTAAATCAGGACTCAAGACTCACCGCCTAACTAGGACATTTACTGAAATCCAGCCTAAGAGGAAGATGTTAGAGAGAGATATTGAAGTCATTTTTTCCCTTAAACACTATATCCCAAAGTACGTACAGAACAAAAGCAATAGTCAGGTATGAAAACAGAGTATAAATAATTAAAACATGGCTGACTACCTATCTTTCAATCTATGTTAACTGAACACCTCTTAAGAAAAAGGCACTTTGCTACACAGTGAGAGTACACATTGCCATAAGACAAAGTCCCTATTCTCAGGAAGCATACAGACCAGCAGAAACACTGATAGGTAACTAGGCAATTAGAAGACATTACGATAAATGCAGAAAAACCCAAAACCTCCATGATGCCCCCATTAATAAAACATTTAAGACCATTTGATTACTATAAATAGGAGATGCAGATCTTGCTAACAAGTACAAAAAAATCAATAACCTGAAGGTTTTTTACTAACAGGTCATCCTAGAGTTGTCTTCCACATTCTCACAGGAGAGGAGCAAGACTACCCAACCAATTAGCCTTCATCTCCCCATCTGTAAACTGATTTGGTTTCTTCCATTATACGTGCCTCCTATGGCTTTAAAACCATCTTCTCCCCTCTAAATAAAACACTGATAGAGGATCCAAAAAAACAAAATCACAAATAGCAATTGTGTCAGTCTGTTTACCCTTTGAGAAGCAAATTCCTCAAGGGACTAACATGTAGATTTCCAAGGGATTCAAGTCAATGCAGGTAACAAATATAAGCAAACTAGGAATTAGTACGAGCTAAAACATATGTTTAATCTTAGGGAGTTACATAATCTACTTAGTTATGAAATACATGACTGGAATTTTAAAAGAAGAAATACTCACCATGCCCAGGCTCATACTGGTTGATGGTCAACTGATCAGGTTTATGTTTAATGAAACCTTTGTTCAACCACTTTTTCAAAATGCTATCCCAAATGTCAGGAAGACCTGAAGTCAGTAATCATAAAGATGAAACATTAAAATATTTACTTTGCATGTTTTATTCAAAAATAAAAATAATTATTCACTGTGATAATAATCACACAGCTTTTAACTTAGCAGTCAGATCTAAATATAACAAAAAAACCCACAAGCAAACAAAATTTTCTAAAGAATCTTTTATTTACTGATTTTTTATCAAATAAAACACCCAAAAGAACAATTTTGCTGACAATTTTAGTACTCTGTAAAATAATAAAATTATAAAATTGACTATTACATACTGGTAATTAGCCTGACCACTTTCTTTTTTGTTATTTTAAATTATTTCACTTATTTAAAATTAAATTTTAATTTATTTTAATTATTTCAAAGTGGCAGTAACTTACTTTCTTTGGAGTCATAAATGTTACTTCACAGGGAAGGAAAATTTTTAAATAAGACCAAACTCATAAAGATACAGATAAATTTAATTCCAACAAAGAATTCTACCAAAGGATTCATAATCAGATTACATAGTAAATTCTTATTAATCAATTACACACACAAAACTGATAAAAATTATGAAAAGGAAGTCACAGAAATGGCCAACCTCACTAGTCATCAGATAATTAGAGAGTTAAAAGTTTACAACACAACATGTGGGTAGGAGTGAAGGGAAACGGGTTCACACTTGGTCTGAGTAGGCTGGTATAGCTGTTTGAGGGGCACTTCGTCAGCACCGACATTTTAAAATGAACAAAACTTTGACACAACAATTCTCAGTTGTCTCCCTAGAGAAACTTTTGCTTACTGCATAAAAATGTGTATACAAGGATACTCACTACAGCACTACTTGTAAAAGTCAAAAGCTAGAGATAACCTAAATGTCTATTAAAAGGGAACTGAGTAAGCCATTACTGAACAATCAATAAAATGAAAAACTTTAAGATGTCCAAGACATACCATAAAGGGAAAAGAGTAAGTTGGAATGATATATGTAATATGTGAATATACAGCACATACAATATATTACATGTTAACAACTATATACTTTTATAGGTGTCTCTATTTGGATATAAACTCATTTTTTCATTTTTTAAAGGGTTGGAAAAATGTATACTAACCAGTTAATAGTACTACTCCTGGGAAAAGTATAGAACTAAGGATAGTGTTCAAAAGGAACTCGAGCTTTATCTGTATGATATGATGTTTTTACATCAAAACTGCACTATGCATCTAACTTGTTTTAAATTTATTCAGTGTTTCAAAAGCTTACCAAAAGATGACAAATGAAACATTATCCTTAACTAGGACAGACTTCCAATATATTAAATCTTTTTTCAGAACCAGCAATTATTTTTTATTAACAATTACTTACCCCCAGGTAATGGCTTATCTTTATCTACACTGTTGTTCTCATAGTAGAATTCATAAGCAAAATGCTTTACTCTTCTGTGTTTTAAGGACTTTTGAATTATATGAAAAGAAAAAAAATGTGAACTACTTGAAAGAAAATAATTGCAATCTTTTATATATTTCAAAGTTGACACTGTGAATAAGGTTTGTTTAGTAATGGTGACGTTAACTGCAAAATTATTGTCTTTAATAAAATTAAACATTTTATCTAATATCTGCTGTTCTTTTAAGGCTAAAATTATAACAAATGCTTAAAGTTTCTCCCAATCAATCCGAAAGAGTTAAACATGCACACAGGCACACATAAGACTGCTAACTGATCTGGAAAGAGTCAAAGTAACTCTAATTTGCAAGTATCTCCAGGATCACTTTATATTACAGTGGTATGTACTGAACTTCCAATTCCTCATAGGAAATTTGCCTTAGGGTGGACAGGATCAAATAAGATAATATATGTGAAAGGGCTTATCAATGTTAGCTCTACAAATGTTGCCTAATATTAATTAGCTTGGAGTTTTAAATTGGTAGCTATATAAATATTATTTATTATTAATGCTCGTATGAATTGTATAAAATTAGATTCAGGCTACTTCAGTAATTTTGAGGAAATATTAAGAGTTTTAATACACCACGGAAGGAGGAGAGAAGGGGCAGTAATATGGCATTTTGCAGAAACTTTTAAATATTTTTATAAGTCTTACTCACCATTTTGATAGTCTGTATCTTCTGACCAGTTAATGCTTTCCAAAAGCATTTTTTCATCATCAGAAGAAACAATTTCTTCTACTACCATGAGGCCTGGAGGTAAGGCTTGATGACTCAACTCTTTCCACTGTACTGTGGGAAACCAGATTAGTCACATACAAAACTTAGTTCCTACATACAAATAACTCAGTTATAATGTAGGTGGGGGGGGGGCACGAGGAAGGCAGTTTAACACAGAGAGGACAAGTAGTGATTCTACAGCATCTTACTACACTGATGGACAGTGACTGTAATGGGGTATGTGGGGGGGACTTGATAATGGGGGGAGTCTAGTAACCATAATGTTGCTCATGTAACTGGTACATTAATGATACCAAAATTTTTTTTTAAATTATTCATAGGAGGTTACTTAAAAAAATAATAATAATAATAATAACTCAGTCAAGCAGCTAGTTATCAGTTCAGAAGAATCCCAATTCTCATCTTCAGAAATAAGAATGCTAAAGGCACACAACATATTAAAGTATAAAAATAAAGATGAAGATAAAAATTATGGTAAATTTTATCCACTACAATTACCAACAGCAAATAAAATAGTATTTACCTAAATATTATTTGAACATGATTAAGCCACTTTTTAGATCTCATAAGAAACAAGGTTTCTCATAATATCTACAGTATACCTGTAAAAAAGTCAGACTGTCTTTACTGAACACAAAAATTTAAATGCTCGGTTTTGCCCTTAGATTCTTGATACTAGCTATGGTCAAGTAACAGAAAAATGGACAACATAATACTTTTTAAAGAAATAAAAACACCATTTTATGAAGACTTATTTGGTATATTTAAAGTAATTTAAGTCCCCGTGTCCTTAAAAATTTTAGATATAGTTCTAAAACAAAAAGAAAAAGAATCTGACTAAAGGGAATAGTGTAATTCACATTTGCTGTTAAGCTATCTGACCATTCATGTTATAGATGTGATTTCTGAACCTTCTCTACTGAATAGCTTTCATCTCTGAATCATTTAATATAAAAATTCATAAAAACAGTAATAAAAATACTAGATTTTATTAATATTTCAGAAATATAAATAGTGAATGATCTCATAAGTATTTACCAACTGCTTACTATATGCCAGGCATTACATTATTTATTCAAATTATATAAGGAAAACTTTGGGAAGAATTCCTTAAGACAGGTAATTTATAGTACAGGTGATTCACATTCAATTTTCTAAGTAGTTTTTTAAAAAATTTTAATAATCTCTTGTACTTGCTATTTAGCAACTATGTGGTGGTAGATACCAAAACAAGTATCAAAACATTTCAGACACAGTTCTATTCTCTTCATTCTATTAAAAATGATTTCCAAGGATATAAATGTGATTAAAACAGTCTTAGAAGTACATCTGGATCTAATGTAGGATTTCAAATAAAGAACACTCCTAAACTCACTATGTACACTTTCTTAAAGTGTTCAACATACTACCTAAGGGAATACCCATGAACAGTATTTTATGATCAAAACTATTCAATTTTTCAGAAACTCATCGTGAGCACATAAAATATAATCTAGTTTTAAAAATATGTGAAGTCAGATTTAAAGTCAAATACATAGGCAGTGAGAATTATAACTTCTAAAATATACCTTTAAAGGAATTTTTTTAAGTTTCCTTTAAGTCTTACTTTATAAAAACATAAATTTGATCAGATTATACTCACCTACACCCACCCCCAGGATATCTAAACAAAATTCTTTAATTGCTTAAATAGGTGGCAAATAAATATAACAAAAGGAAATTGGATGTCTAAATCAAAGTTCATCTTAACACATCTCCTATCCATGGGAGAGTAGTGAAACAATGTAATAATCCCTGTAGTAATTCCATAAATCAGCCTATAAAGCTTTTATATTAAATAAATTAACTTAATTAATTTAAATAAAATTAAAATTTAGAAATTTAAAAATCAGTTCCTCAATCAAACAAGCATATTAGCACAGATATGAACATATGAATATTTCCACTATCACAAAAAGTTTATTGGACAGTGTTACTATAAACTTTGGGGATCTTTTGTGAATAACAATTTTCTTCCATAAATATGAGGCTTGGTACATAAACATTTGGATCAATCAATTCTTAAGTAATTAAATGAAAACTTCTGGGAAGACACTGAAAAATTGGTGATCTGAATCCTCAACATTAAATAAAAAAAACACAATTAGGTAGCAGCATTTCAAAACAAGTAACATGCATAATAAATACATTGCTGGGTTGGTGGGACCAGCTCCTTAGAAGTAGGCAATGTCTAAATCACCTCCCTTCAACTACCGGTCACAAAAAGCAAAACCACACGCTTAGAATGTCTGTCAAACAAAAAGGGGCTGGGTCCGATTTTGAACCTCCCAACTTAAGAAAACTCATACAAAAGCAAAGCGGTATTTTTAAAATGATGTCTGTATGATAATATACCTTTTTCCACGAAATTCAAGTACAGAATGATCTTTTGCCCTAAATCATTCATTATTTCTTTTCCATTGAGAGTAACACAGGCTTTCTCGGATTCTTCTGTAGTTTTGTATCTTACAAACGAGTAGGGCTTCATAGGCGGCATCAGGAGAGCGTCCACCACTCCACACGTCTCTAAGACCAGGAGCAGCCGGGTCCTGCTCACACCGTTACCCAGACCACCATTGGCAACAACCAGGCTATTAAAAAAACAAAAAGAAAGTAACATCATGTTTATTTTTTGACCTGTTTATTTTTAAAAAGATAAAGTTTTTAAATAAAATAAATATTTTTAAATAAGATAAAGATTTTTTAAGTACGATCCCTACAAAGGGATAGCTAAGAAAACTAAAAAATGGTGATTACTTGCTTTTCTAATTTCATACAAAGTACATAAATCAATTTACTAAATAATGGGAATTAAAAAGTATGCCTATGTTGTAAATACTACTAATTTTTTAAATAGCCTTTTCAGTAAAATATTCCTTTTTTAATAACCATACAAACAAATTAAAAGATAACTCCTTTACTGTTCAAACATAAATTTAACATAATGAAAGAGAAATAGTAGAAAGGAGAAGGAATAAGGGGTTACACGAGACTTGTGTTTTGCCAGACACTGTGCGCGACATGCTTTTACCTACTTAGTCCTCATTAACACAATCTTCACAACAGTCCTACACAGTGAGTACTACTGGCCCCACCTCACAGAGGAAGAAACTGAAAATCAGAAAATTAGGTTAAGGGAGTGACTAGGGGGAGCGGGATTTCAAGCCTATTTCTGTTAAGTTTCCAGAATCCACACTTTCGATATAACAAGGTAATACAATGTTTCCTAAAAACTAAAGTAAAGGTACTGGCTCAAAGAAAAACCAATTATAGGTTCTACTGAACACAAAATAGGAAAATTTTCCTCTGTGCCTGAATAATTCAGTCATTTTGCAATTAAAATTCTTTCTTTTGTAAGTGCATGCTTACTTCCTACTATTTGCAGTGTGGCACCAAGCTTCATTCAAGGAATTTTGTGGGGAGGGAAGAGCTCTTCTATTTTTCATTCAGATGGTTAAGTCCTAGTACCCTTATCATCTTTCTACTTAAAAAGCATTCTATACAGTGTTAAGATCTTTAATTTATGAGCTATGACTCCCCAAAACTGCAGTACAACAAAAGTAAACAAATGATGGCTTGCTCTCCCTCTCTCATCACATACCCGGCACTGGCAAACTGATTCTGAAAAGGGACAGATGGTGAGTAGTTTAGGCTTCGCAGGACATGTAAGTCTCTGTCCACATTGGTGTTCTTATTTTCTAACCTTTTTATCTGCAATTTCCTATAATAGGTACTGTTTTCTGAGAAATCAGGACAACATACTGGCTGCTGTGACACTAATCTTGAACAATAAAGGCTCCTATATAAGCTCTTTTAAAATGTTGAGTCATTTCTTTTGAGATGCAGTACTACAAAACACACAGTATTGTTGAATATGCTATTATTTGGGCTAAAGCCCAAGAAAATGAAGAGAGAACTGTGTCTTTGAGACTTGTATGAGATAATATGAGTCCATAGTTAACTACCTAACTCAATGTTCCCCATTAACATATAGATAATATACTTTCCTCCCACTAATCATAAGATCTCTTTCCAGGTCTCAAGTATTAAAGAAGGGCTTTACTTCTATATAAATGTTCGGTTTTGTGTAATAATAAAAAAACTCGGTGAATTTTAGAAAGCTTTATCTATTAAAATTATCCCCCAATTAGATCAAAAGAAATTAGGATTTGGAGTTTTAGAAAGACTCCCATTAGAGAAAATTATAGCTACATAAAATTCTGATATTACTCACTATATTGTTGATAGCTACTGGTCTTAAAGAGAAACAAAAAAATATGCTGTGAATGTAGTTCCCTTGGTATATAAGGGAAAAGTAGAATTTCAAATCAAACCTCTATACTCAGCATCAATATCTAGGTTGTAACTAAATCAAAGGCCTTTAGGTTATTCTAATGGAACACAGATTGACAGGATAGTTTCCAGATCTTTCAAAACACAATAATTAACAAAACACAAGACCATTTGCTCAGCTTGAAGAAATCAGGGGAAAACATTAGATACAGTTGATTTCTGGAGATTTACCAAATCTCTAGATGGCATTTTAGCCATCTAAAAACCAGTATTTCTTTACACACTGAGTAGTCAAATATAACAAGAACTCATGCTTTTATTTAAATTGAGAAAGTATCTTTCGCTCAGTTTCCTGACAACACAACCAAGCACAATTAAAAGTATGAATTTATAGTGAATTATATTAAACTTCAGTTTTAATGAA